TTAGGGGAGTCTCTGCCTCCATCCTGTGACACATCTCATGGAAGACCCCTGCCCATGACCCCCCGAGACAAAAATGCAGCCCCCACCCTAACTAAGCTCTGCTTCCCCTTGAGATGCCGAAAGGACCAGAGTGAAAATCCAGACCTCACCAAGGGATGGTGAGGAGCCCCATTTACGGGGCCTCCTGTGTGCCCGGGTCTGACGTGGGCTCTCACTTCTGAGTCCAGGATGAACCCGGCCCCCGCTTTCCTGATATTTCCCAGGAGCAAGTCTAGTCAGGTCTGTCCGTCCCCAGCCCGTCCCCACCCACCTCGGCAGCTGTGGGCCAGAGAGAACTGTCCAACAGGACATGAGAAGGTGCGTCCATCCCGCGGCAGGGCAGGGAGATGGGCAGTGGCCACCTCTGCTGGTGCATCTTTCTGGAATGTTCTCTATTGCAGGGCCTGGCTCTTAGTGGGTGCTGAGTGCAGGAATGGATACACCTCCTTCCACCCCAGCCCAGGCCAGGCTGTGACAGCGCATGGGCTTCTCCCACTGAGGGCCCCCGAGGCCAACAGCAGCACACAGTAGGTGCTCAGGAACAGGAAGTGTTCCTATTCTTACCTCATCCCTATGATTACTCCTCCCCAGCACTGTGCACAACTTTCCGGTTGATCACATTAACAACAGCAGTTGCATTATTCATGAAGAACTTTCTGGAAGCATTGCCCTCTGTGACCCACCCACTACGCAGCAGGTTCCACTATCCTCACTTTACAGATAAGAAACACGGAGGTGCAGAGAGATTCAGTCATTTGCTCAGTAAAAGAGCCACCACCCAAGCTCCTCTCCGCACCTCTCCAAGGTGTGACTTTCCCAGGCGAAGCAAAGACAAACTCTCCTCTAAATGTTCTCCTCCAGATCCTCACAGCCTGATGGTCGACGGTTCCAATCAATAAATGTTATTGATTATCAGTTCATTTTGTTAAAAAAAAAAAAGGAGCCGGTTGGGTCTGATCGTGCACAGCCTGACACCTGCTGTGACCTGCTTGCTCTGCCTGCTTCCTGGCTGCATTTCCAGGTCTGAACCCGAGAACGAGCCCGTCGGCTGCAGCCTGGGGACCCGGTGGTCAAGGTCCAGGCCCACCTGCGTCCCGATGGCCTTGGTTTTCACTGTCACCAGGTATGGGGAAGGTAAGACCAACTCTGTGACCACGGAATGACCTAGTGGTAAACTGCAAGGCGGCTCCAGGAGGCCAGGGGTGGCCACTCTGGCCTGTGCCCGGCATTCACCTGGCCCCCAGGCGGGTTTCCCTTGGTGCCCTCGCTGGCCAGGGGGCTGGGCTCTTAGGGGTGGTGCCCAGGCCTGCCAGCTCCCCTCCCCAGCCCTGGCCAGGGTTTGCTGGTGACCGTTTAGATGACACAGGCCTGCAGTACGTCCACCCCACAAAGCCCAGGTCAGGGGTGAGGGGCAGGGGCCACTCCCTGAGTGCCGCGGCCTTAGCTCTCTGTCCACTCTGCACGGAAGGCCCCTTCCAGCTCTGCCTCAGCAGGGAGGCCTCGGCCTTCGCTGGCTTCCCTCCAAGCCAACAGTGACACCAGAGACAGAGTGGCCCCCAGGCCACAGGCTAGCATACACCGCCTCCCGGGGGACCATGGGCACCTCCTGGCCGGGACTCGGATCCATCTCTACAGCCCAAGCCCAGCCCCCAGCCCACAGTGGGCCATCGAGTGTCGGAGGTTGTGTCCACTTGAAAGGAAGCCCTCCAGACTTGGGGCCTGGCCTGTCCCCCGCTTCCCTCTCCTCCAGCCTCCAGCAACCTATCCCTCAAGGAAGCCCATTGCCACACTTCCTCCCTCCATCACGTCTGAGAAGACAACTGCCCTGTCCCAGGACCCTCCTTTATGAATTTCAGTTCCCAGGCACCTTCCTCCCGTGATCAAGCCCACTTTACTGTTGCTCTGTGTATGGTTTTCAGGCCCATCACCTCCCTGTTTTCTACACGCCTGTCTTTATTGATATGGTCTGCTCCAGACGGACAGCTCAGCTCCTCAAGGGCAGAGAAAGTGGAAAGAGGCCTGAGGTCCTCTGCCCACTGCCTAAACAAATGCTGGTCAGCTTTGTGTTCATTTATTGCCTGTGTGATTTTACATTTTATTGAGTAAGCGGC